TTCATGGCAAAAAAATCCAGTCACATCCAAACTTTTTAAAATGTCATACAGAAAGAGGGGATGAATCTCTTCTAGCACAAAGTTTCAAGCCTTCCCTACTTCATTAAAACTAGCCTTCCCCCCTAAACAGTTTCTGTTTTGCAATTGCTGAAGTGCATTTAGAGGCTTCTCTCTTGAATTAATGCTAGTTGTGTTTTAAAATAGCTTATTTCTTTCAACAAAAAAAAAGGAGAAGGAGATCATCTTGTGCACGGAAAAAGCCTGTCATTGATCTAGTGGTTTGGAAGCATTTACTTTTTCATGGTCTGCAGCTGGTTTTGCAACAGCACCGCCAGGTCTCTGCTGCACTGCAGTAACTACTTGGCTGCTTGATGCATTCACAGAAAGTACTGCCCTTGAGTCAGCTTTTGGGGTCCACCAGCCTGGTTCCCTAAAGTGTCAGTGATAAGGCTTGTACATTAATCGTCCAGGGAGATCCAGCACAAAGAAGATCCAGCACATTACACTTCTAAAAATTTAGCAATGTGGTTTCATTGCACATTTACATTTGTTCCAGTGTGTCACTGTTTCTGTGGAAGCTAACTGAAATAAGACATAAGGCTTCCCATATCTGTGCACACTATGACAATCCATCTGCTGTCCTTCCCATAAAGATTTATTCTCCCCTTTTCTCCACGCATAAACCACACATTAACAAATAGAATTAATTATATTTTATCTGCAAGTCGCATGCTATAATGTCACATCAGGGTCACCAAGATTCCCAATCTTGAAGGCTAGAATTATTTTAAATAAGTTAGCTTTGGCCAAGCATAAATTCGTCCTCCCAATGAATTTTTTGTGTGATTTTTTTTTTTTTAACCCCTCCCCTCCTTCACTCCCTGTAGTCTGATGCTTTGATGGATATGAGACTCTTTTCCTCCAAATGAACACATTAGACACTCAAGAAAATGACTTTGTTGGCAGAAAATATTTCATTTCCATGATGGAGAGAAACTATTCCCAGCTGCCCAATGGTTAGAGTTCCCAATGCCAGACACAGTGAGGGCCCAGGACAGCAGTGGATGTTATACTGTCTCTAAGGTGACACACAAATGATACAGGCGGGCTCTCCTCCACTGCTCCAGGAGGAAACACTGCAGCTTGGTTTATTTGACTTTATACTTACTAAATGCACCATCAGGTCATAAGTCCTTACAGCAGCTACACTGGAGGGAGGAGGAAATGTGAAAAATGTCCTGTGGGGAACAATCTTGCTTTGGCAGGAAGATGGCTGTAGTGATGTAACTGAGTCTTATTTGGTCTCTACATCCTTTGATTCTATGAAAAATGGATGAGAAGGATGAAGTGACTAAAAACCCCTGCATGCCCCTGGGACCAAGCAAGAACATTCTGATTCGTGAGGCCCCATCGTCTACTCTCACCATGCACAACAAAGTCATGGGGTTTGTATTGCGTTGGATTTTTTTTCTTTTGTGTAATCTTGTATGCTCATTAAAATGCCTGGAGAGGAGGACTTAGAGTTCCAGGGATTGTTAGCGGAATACAAGACAAGTCAAACCCAACCATGGTTGGTCAGGGGGCTGTCTGAAGTGACTCCACGATGCCGGTCCAATTCTCAGTGGATTGGTGTCCGTATCACAAAAGCTTCTGTTCCTTTTGGCACCTGGGCTGTGCCCCTCTCAGTGGAGAGGCTAAGAACACAAGCAGCTTACAGCAGAGCATGGACATAGTTGTACTTTTCCCTGGTATTAGGAGATCAGCTGTGTCAACAGAAAGCTGTGCTGTATCATGACAGTGGCTGTTTCTTCATGTAATGCCAGCTACGGCTTAACCAAGCTGGACACTGTGGTTTTAAGCTTCTGCAGAGCCCGTAGATGTTTGGATCCTGGGTTCATAATAGAAATTAGGACCAGCCCTTAATGTAGGAACTTGATTAGAAATAAGTATCTTTTAGCATTAATAAGGCTGCTGTTGGAGATCAGGAAGCCTCACAACATCATACTGTAATGATGTGGCACAGTGACATTTAAAGTGGCACAGCTAAATGTACTTTTCTCCCATACTGCAGTACAAAGCAGACAAGCAGATGCCAGTCAAGCTTTGTATTAAAAGGCAGTCTTTTCCCCAAAGCACTGGAGGATATGCTGCTTTTGCCAGCTTTGT